GAGTGAGTGAGTGAGTGAGTGAGTGAGTGAGTGAGTGAGTGAGTAAGAGAGAAAGAGAGAGAGAAAGAGAGGAAGAGAGAGAGAGGGAGAGGTCAAATGGAACTTCTCCGATTAACTAGGAACCACACCACGTTGTTGGCTTACATTGCGGTGCTAATCATCCATTGGTAACCGAAAAATAACGCTCTAGTCTAAAAGCTATTTGCTCTAAGTATTATCCGTGAATAAAAGCATGTAGCTGCGAACCGAGACTGCGGATTCGCACACCAATATGTTCGTGGGACGCCAATTTTTTTTCTCTTCTCGAGTGATAACGCTTGATAATTGGCACCATGCAAATGTTACGCGTGTATGCACACGCATATATATCGATGTACTGCACCTTGCGAAATTATGTTATGCCGGAGGATGTTTTTATCGTGAGGACTTTAGAAAAGTGAAATGTTAAATTTTGTAATCTTTGTAGCAAATATATTAATCAATAATATTGTGTTACTAGGTTTCTTTTTCTCAACACCTGAATATTTTTTTGCAAAGCATAGATTCCCTTTCATCGTTTATGCTTGTATACAATTCTAAATGACATATTCAAATAATAAAATTTATTTGCAATATTTAATGTTTAAAAAATTATAATGAATTACGAGTTTTCTGTTTCTTGAATGATGACTCTTAGATATTTTTAACTGTGCTAAAAAAATAGATTACACAGAGTGATAGTATATTAGACATTACGAATTTGCGTTATTATATAAGAAATTCAAAGTGGAGTTTTTAAAAATTCAAGAGTGATGAAATTTTTGATAAGCATTCTTTTCCTTTTTCAGTATAAAGCCTTACAAGAAACACCTATAATTCGTTTAGAAACAAAGTGTTATCTAAGATTTGTTATTCAATGTAAATAATTCATCCGATATTTTAAAAAAGGAATTTCAATTCAGTAACATAATTACCGCTGGAAAATTGGCACATTTCATATCAATTTCAATATCTTGCCTTTTATCTATCGTATGAATGACCTCCTATTTGTTGAAAGATTTTGATAAGCTCGCGAACAGAATTCGTAATCGCATTAGATCCATTTTCAGGGTTGATGACCTGTATTATTACATGGCAAATACCAATACGAATAAATCTATTTAAGCATATAATGTATTTTGTGAAAACGGCGTTCACTTACGGAGTCTTTCTTCAAATATGTTTTTTTGCTGAAAAACAAAAAAAGTGAAAAGATAAAAAAAAATATTCCGTGGGACACAGCGATGAGATTCCTTTTTTTTATTATCGGTTACCTTATTACCAGTATCGCGCAAATTCATTATTCCATACAATTTAAGCGCTAAAGTCTGAGTTATCTAAAAAAAAATTGCCAGATTATCATTCAAAAAGCTCTGATATGCGCTTTAATCCTACGTAGACATTCCGAGTTTGAACAATAAATAACGCTTTAACGAACATAGATCTCATTCTGTGTTTAACAGTATTACATCACAAAATGATAACGATAACTACCGTCTCAAAATCTTTTTGAATCTTAGTATTAAAATTTATTCCAGGGAGATTATTGAAGAGTACATCACGTTACTTCACAAAGGGCACAATGCGTTTTGAATAAAATCTTGTTTTCACACTATAATATGAAATCTTGTGTGGAAGTTACAGTCGAGATGCGCTGAATAGCAATTTCCGTGAAAGAAGAAATTTCACACGCGATTTATCCCCTTGAGTATAATATCTTTGAGGATACAAGGTCCCCGGGTGAGGTGAAGCGTAACTCAACCAAGACAGGTTGCATCGAGATGTTATGGTAAATATACAGCGAAAGATCTCGCACCTAGGTGTGAGATCGGGCTTGAAGTTTGCCTGCGTAAACAGACGGGAGGACGGGGTTTATGTTTCTGTCTCAAATTCCTTACGTGCAGGCGCATAACCCCTTCGAACCTTAATGCACCGTAACGTTTAACGACTTCGTCAAAGAGACTTCCATGACGCTGTTTGCACATCGTCTTTTAGAGGACCACGGTACCAAAAGTTTGGCAAGACGATTATCGGCACACGTATAAGCGGTCGGGTTGACGGGAACGTTAAGATTCTCCTGGGTGTGCCTATTCGCATTCGCACATGTGTCGCCAACTCAGCACCGATCCACGCTACTTGAATAAGCAACGATGAAAAACGTCGAAACATGCAAAACATTACGTTCGCTCTGTGATCGTAAAATGCTTTTCACGTCTAGACAATCTTTCGCTTTCTCTCTCTCTCTCTCTCTCTCTCTCTCTCTCTCTGTACACGTATTCTGAAATTTACTTTTGAAAGGACCGTAAACGGCGAAAGACATAATAAAGATACAATGATCAAATTGATATTAAGAATGTCTCTTAAACAAGACATATTACACCTCCTCAAGAAAAGTGATACAAGTAAAAAATACAAAATTGTTCTGGAAAGAGAAAAGAAAAAAATATTAAAACTAATTTTTGTGACATTAGTACTTTAAAACTGATTATTTATCTTAAATTCATAGCACTTAAATTCATAATGTTAAGTTATACTTTGGAATTTAAATTATTTTTAAGTAATATATTTTTATAGATCGTTACTATTTCTACTCAATATGTCGTTAATTTAATTAAAACACGACGTTTAATAATTGTGAACTCAAGAAAATATATTAAATTTAACTCACTTTAGTTTATTATTTACTAAGCATATACATTTATATGGACGTTATTAATTATAAAACTGAGCAATTCAGTTATAGAAATAGATTGATTTACATTTTGACATACATGGAAGCAAGCATGAAGATTAATAACAGCAAAATGTTATTTAACTTAAAGGTTATCATTGATTTTTTAATATCTAATAGTGTATTAATATAATAGTTAATCATAAGTTTATTAGAGCTAATCATAAATTTGTAAAAAGAATTGATACTGCAGTTTAGAATGGGAATCAATCGCATCTTTGCAAAAAGTGACCATAAGTTGAAATTTTTCAGATTTTGTTTTATATTTGGATTGTGTTCTGAATTCATCAATCTTTATTAGGAAAAATGATGACACGTTGAATAGATAAAAATTTAAAAAAAACCAAAAAAATAATATAAATAAAAATAAAAATAGTTTTTTAGACGTACATACAACATAACATTATAAAAATTACAAAATTAATATTTCAAGTTTCAAAGGTTAATTTTGTTAATGTTATGTTACATACATACCTCTAAAAACTATTTTTATTTTAATTTATATTATTTTTTTGATTTTTTAAAAATTCTTATGTATTTGAATTCAACGTGTTATCATTTTTTCTAATAAAGATTGATGAATTCAGAAGATCAATCCAGATATAAAACAAAATCTGAAAAATTTAGACTTGTGGTCACTTTTTTTGCAAAGATACGATTGATTCCCTTTACTAAACTGCAGTGTCAATTCTTTTTACAATAATTATAATAGATGAAAGTATATTATTTTGCCAAATCATGTTTTCGTCGGGTACCTGTTACGATAATAAACTGCTGTACTGCTCGCGGTAACTTACTGATAGAATTGAGTCCGTAGTTGGTGTGGTAGACGGATTGCGATGGGCTGTTGATCGGCAGTCCGGAGTTGCCGAGACTAAGGCTAGAACCTAAACTTCCCGTGCTTTGTTGACCGAGCTGCCCAAAGCCACTCATCGTCATGCCGCTTTGCAATTGTCCAAGACCTACGGAACAGATGAGCGCAAAATTAAATAATGAGCACAAGGGACAATTAATGCAAGGTTGCGTGACGCGAGGGGCTCGCAAAGAAACGAAAAGAATCGTTCAGTTATCGGTGTCATTGTCAGTGCAACCGTCGGTGAACAACCGTAGCACCGATAATACGCAGTAAGTAATTTCAGCTGTCTCAGCCAGTGGACGGGCAAAATTAAATTAGGAGGCAAGCATCGTCGAGACTTCGTCTATGAGAATTGGTGTTTCCTTCTCATGTTGCTTCTTCTCCCGTTAATGCGTGAACGAGATGCTAATCATATCGCGCTTTAACTGACATGACGAATCATGTGCAATTTGCATAGACGCGGATAATATGCTTCGATTAAATCGTGAACGAAACGTGCTCTTTCAGCATTTCTTTATTACACTTGCGTTCTAATCTCGGAGTTACTTCATCTTTTAAAATAATATTAATTTTCTAACATACGTGCATATATGTATACAGAATGAAAACATATTTGTGAACCAAGTAGATTAAAAAAGTTTAGACTAAATGCGGTTAAAATATTGTACATGAAATTACCAATAAAGAATAACTACGAATTTCAAGTACGTCGTTAACATTTGGAAAAATATTTCACTAGTTTCATTGATCACTAATATAAAAGAATAAAATTTCTTGACGCTTGAACATAATTATTTATTTATACAATGTTTAAATATTCATACTCTTTCAAAACTATTTGATTTTGCAAAAATGAAAGAGATGATTGCAAAAGTGTAATATCGACTTTACTTAATTTCTCTTTCTCTTCTCATTGTCAGTCTTCTATGTATTATCAAAATAGATTGTGTAAGTATTTCATAAGACAACAGATCAATTTAAGATGTCTAATTAGAACTTTAATGAAGAAATGAGAAAAATACGCAAACAAACTAAAATATTATATTTTTTTCTCCATACATTTGGTACTAATTTAACGCATTATTTATAATTTTGGATTTTTAAAATAAAGCAAAATGAAAAATTAAAATGAAAAAAGAAATAATATTATGAAAAATAAGTGGTTTGTGTAAATATAAAAAGTATTTAACTAACATAGTTAGCAATCTACTGACATTGCAGTATATATTATATGCATTATGGAATATCATCGATACTTTATTAGTGATGTGACATACGAAATTGATAGCTGCTACGGAAATAACTGTCAGAGGAGACAGTTTTTTAAAGCACTTCAGGAAATTCTGGTATAAATCCTCATTTTTAAACATGCACGGTAATAAATATCGAGTCCTTGCGAGTAATAATGCAGGCGATCGAAAGAGCGTTTCCTGTCCTGGCCAACGTAAGCGGACAGATAATTTCTTTTTTTTTCTTATCTTGCGTTTCTTGGTTACGGTTAGTGATACAAGCTATTGATATCTGACCTGTCCCCATTCCCCATCTGTCCGCAGGAGTATGAAACATTCCGGTGCATAAGTCGGAGGTCATCGGTCCGAAGGGAGGCAAACCGTGCGACGGTAGCAGCGATCCCGAGGATCGGAACACGTTGGTTGTCTTCTTGCGCTTCTTCCACTTCGCTCGTCGGTTTTGAAACCATACCTATAGACATACACAAGGAATTGTTATTAACAATCCGTTGAAAAAAAGTATAATTCTTAAAACTCTAATAGCGTGGAAAACGTTTCAACCTTTTTCACAATTTGCGACATATTAAATAACGAGCCAAATTTCTCGGGACACCATTCCATTCATATAATGTTAAGATTATATCCAGTTTAAGTTATTTTTAATCGTTCTATAAGTCGTCACTGCTCTTACTCAATATTAACTTAACTCAAAAATAATAGAGTATTATATAAACAGCTTAATTTAAGATATGTGTTAAATTTGACTTACACACATACACAAATTTAGTTTAGTATTTACTAAGTGCATACGTTAATATAAATGTGTCTTTTAACCAACTATAGAAATGGATTAATTTACGTTTTTGACATTAAAAAATTAAAAATAACAAAATGTACGTTATTTAACTCAAGGGATTAACTTACCATTATATCCCTTAATATATGACAATGCACCTAACAGAACATCATTAGGTGTATAAGCTTCAGCGCTTAGCATAGATCTTTCATCAAATATTGCTAATGCATGCAGGAATAAGTAAAGTTAGTAAGAAGTAGTAGTTTTAAAGAAAAAATAAAGTTTTAAAATTTTTATTTTTTTTTATTTTTTCGTTTTAAAAGTAATTTTATTGCAATGACATCGTTTTGATTAAAACGATAGTAAATACAATATAATTTGGACAATTTTTATAATTTTTAAAACATTTATTATTTTTTGAGCCTTACACTCATTTTTTTATTTATTTCTAAATTTTTTACTTCTTCTTTTCTTTTAATTTTTGCTGCGAACTTGGAGACTTTTTGTGTACCAATGTGCCATGGCAAATTAGTTAAAAAATACCTTACTCTAAAAAAAATATTAAATCTTACTTTTTGTCACATTCGTTCATATAATAATGTTTCTTACATTTTCACCAACAATATTCATTATCCTTTTTTTTTTTAAACTAATTAAAAAAAGAATAAGTTTCATTCATTATTAAGTACATAAGAAAATTATGGAGTTAACTGTTATTCTTTCTAAACAATATTTTTGTTTCTGACGTGATCGAAAATCGCATATATCCGACAATTTCTTTACCCGTCCTCTCCCCCCGCGATAAAACTTTTTTTTCTCAACAGGACGCAACCAAATCCAACCATTGCGACGGTAAGATGTCCCTCGGTGTTACGACAATATCTTCGACCCCACCGCGGGTAGCTATTAGCCGACGTTATGAGCTGTTGATTCTGGCCACGTAGTGGCCCCCTAAGCTGCCGGGGTCCCGGGGACTTGATTTATTGATATCGCATGCAAAGCCCGCCTCTGTGTTCTCCGATATACCTACCCTCGCCCTATCTCGCCACCACCACCATTGCATCAGTATCAACGTACCACCACCACTACTACTATTGCACCTCTCTCTCTCTCTCTCTCTCTCTCTCTCTCTCTCTCTCTCATTCTCTCCCGCTCTATCCTTCTCCGCAGACTATAGTCCCTTTTCTGGCACGGTAGCTCGCACTATAGCCATCTCATATGTGCCTATAAATTAGTACTTTAGCATTAGAGCGCGAGATGCGCGCTTGCGCCACCATACGCACCCGTACGTACCATACCACACACGCAGCGAGACACACACACTCACGCACACAGAGAAGAGTAGCACGGCAAAGACCGAGAGGGATGGCGGTACGAGGGGTAGGTACACCCTACGCTAACATACGAGGATTATACGAATCTAATTGGATATATGGGATTTACACGCTCCAGTATATATATCTCGGGCATTGCAACGAAGCGATTGTTGCATTCTTATACTCAAAGATCCGTTAATATCTAGCACAAGATTTCGGATCAATTCAAAACAGGATGTTAGTATCTTTAATTTATCGTGTGCTGTCGCTTGAAGACTTATCAGTTTCGAATCATTAATTTTTTTGCATATATTATATAGTTTCATAGCCGTTGACGTCTTCATCAGTAAAGCGATTACTATTATTTAGTATTTTTAAAATTTTTATCGGATTACGATAATGCACGTATAACAACTTAATTTTGTAGCATTGTAATAAATGAACTACGTGAAATTTAATGATTACTTAAATAACTGACTGGTGATCTTAAATAACTCGATATAAAATCTGTTTATCTTTATTTCTAATCTTTTATATACTGACTTATATCTTAATTTTTAATTGAATACGAACAATGATGTCATTTTTGGTTAAATTAACGTTTATCGTTCCGTGATATTTGTCGAAGGCTCGTAACAGCTGGCGGGTCTCTTGACTCTCAAGGATGGACGCTCGTGACGAGAGAATGGCATTAGAGCTGGGTGGTGTTAAGTGCATTGGGACCGAATCAGCGTCTATATATCAGTCAATGGCGTAGAATCGAATGCTCTCCTCCATCTCCATAAAATTCACTACATCCTTATAAAGGCGGATATGCCTACGATTTCGCATATGTGAGTGCACATTTCTCTTTGCTGATATCACATTTGTAACTTCAGATGTAAACATACGATGATTTGATTAAAAAATTCATACAATTTTTAAACATTTAGATATTTATGCATAATTGTAAAATTGTTCAATATAATTTAACGTATTTATCTAACGTATTATTCAAATTATTGTTTTACAATATTCGACTACCACAAATATTTAACAAATAGATATTAGGCTAATTCAAAATTTAGTTAAAATTTAAAACTTACATTTACTAATTGCCATAGTATATTAGCAGTACAGATTTCAATTCTTTATACTTTTTAAAATATTTCTTCATTTTACAATAAAAAATATTTTAATATATTTTTTAAATTTATTTCCATTTATTTATTATTAAGTCTTTTTATTGATGTACATATATAAAATGTGTATATCTTTGTTCCTAAATAAATAGATCAAATAGAATAGATTAAATGTATGAATAAATATAAACATATTTTTGATTCAAATAAAGCATATTTATTAATTATTCTTCAAAATGTCTAAGAGAATTAGAATTTTATTATAAGTGTTTTTCATCCTCTAATTTTAGATTTGCTTTTCATCTTTTAATAAATATTTTTCTTAGAATTCTTTATAATTTTTTAGAATTTTTATGTGAATTCAGAATTTATGTACAATTTCATAGTTTTTTAGCAAAATTTTCAGATTTTTATACAAATAGAAACATTTTTTAAAGTTACTGAGAAAGTCTATATCTTCTCTAAAATTTTTCATATAGAAAAATTTTGAAATGTAAGATTTTTAACATTAAGATCTCTTAAACATCACAATGGGAACAACACTGTTAAATTTATAATATCAAATTATGTATATTTATTCGAATTATTTTTAATTATTTCTATAAGTCACCACTGCTTCTACTCAATATGTCATTAATTTTACTAAGACAATTTAATTCAAGAAATATATTATGGTCACATTTAGTTTATTATTTACTATGCATATGTTAATATAGACATTGTTTACTTTGAAATTAATTACATAAATAAGTTGATTTATATTTTGATGTATATGAAAGTTAAAACAAAATAATATTTAACTTAAAAAAATATGAGTTACTGTTGCTCCTTTGATATCTAACGATGCACTTGAATACAGCATATCCAACGCAATTCAATTGCTTATATATAACTTTCACAAAAATAAACATATTATAATCAATTTTTTTTTAAATCAAAGTGCTAAATATTATGGAACATAACGGTATCAAGTATCTTTATTAATAAAGAAGTTATTAATAATGGGAAAACATTTAAAAAAGGAAAAGTGAGGTATGTCATAACAAACAGGTGTTTAAGGATTAAGATCTCTCAGTCTACAATTTTTTTATAAAAACTTATAAAGCCTTAAGATACTTAAGATACTCTTCCAGAAATCTTGATCAATTTAAAATAGAATTTTTAAAAAAGAATTTAGAATTGATTCTTGAAAATATTATGAGATATTGTATTATAAAAATTTTTTTACCAAAATCAATCTATATATACGAGTATTAGCAAAGCATCAAATAATACAAACATCAATGATATTATATATATAAATATTAAAGATATCTTCAATTTTTTATATTTTTGATACAATAAGTTTTTTATATCTTCAAAATTGTTTAATTTCTACAAAATTCAGATTTTCAATTTTTCTAATTTGTACAAAATATAAAATTTTTATCTATCAATTATATATACCTATATTATTTTATTTTAAAGCAACTCTGACGTGCAAGCTTTTAAGCAGTCTTTTCCGGAACCACGTCGTCTTTGCGTCGATGAATCGTCTCCTGACACGTCAATTTCACGGTAGAATTACGATGAAACCGCGACTAAAAGCCCGTGGATAATCCACCGTTACACGCCGATATGGTCCACACAGAAGAGGGAAAAAAGCAGAGAGACTGCCTACGCGCAAATCGCGCATTATCACGTATACCCTCTATCTCGCGCACAGGTGCATCGAGCCTACACACATATGGCAGAACTTCCGTTAATTAACACTGGCGGATGCTAATGACTTCTGTTACGAAATAACAACGCACGAACGAGTGCTTTCGATGAGCGTGTCCGATACCGAAAAGCCGTGCAACCGATGAGTTCTTTGTACGTATATCTGAATCAAAGATTCACATTAGAGAACGATATTGGAAACATCATAGCATGCGAACAAGTACGCAAATTTCGAATTTATATTTATAATAAGTTTACATGTTTAATATCGTGATAATATCGTAGATAAATTAAAGCAATTTTGATACATCGAATGCATATATAGAAAATATAAAGAAAGATTTCTAGAAAAGTTCTATAAAATTTCGAATAATAGAGTCAACAAAAATAATCGTTCTTAATGATAAAGAGTAACGACAGCTAAAAATACATGGAATTTTCATAATTGCAATCAATCTAATGTCCACGCTTTAAAATACGTGACAGTTCCTTTTGGAATCAAATGAAATCGACAGCCCCAGTGCTTTATATACTGAAA